AGTGTGAAGCCTGGTGTATTTCCATTTCCTCCTCTCTTTTGTCAGGGTTGGGCTAATCACAATAACTTGTGCGTGAGTCGCTGTAAGGAAGCGACTTCAAGCTCTTGGGCCCTCTGGCAGGAGTTGTATCCTCCTACAAACAAAGCTCAAGTTACATTGGAGGTTTGGTAGCCTTAGTAACCATCTCCCATATTCTTACAATAGTTCTTAAAGTTGTTCATTGTTTCTCCTCCTCCTCATACTGTGTCTCGCTCTTGATAGGCTATATCATTGAAATACTACATGTGGTGATTTTGAAGAGAGATGCTGCGCGTGAACAAGAAGCGGCTTAAGCACTCTTTCTGCTTGTTTGTCCCTTTGTACACCTATTGGGAACATGTCTGTTTGCAGATATGAGACCGGTGTAGAACTCTTTCAGTACACAGCTGAAAGCAGAGCCAAGAAGGGGAGGAATGAAGACACAAATCAACAAACACACACAATCAAAAGAGAAATAAGTCTTGAGATGGTGAATTGAAAGACTTCAATCAAAGAAAGAAATGCCCTTCTTAAACAGGGACTTTGATTATCAATGAATTAAATTTAAGACCTTCAAGTCTTTGGATTAATAAGAACCAGGCTGAAATAGGACAATAACTTCAAAAATAGCACAATCTAGGCGCACTCAGGCACCTTCCAAATGAGCAAATGAGCTTACAACTCAACAAGAAATTAATTAAAAGATGAATAAGGGTCTTATTATTATAAAATTCCAACTCTCATTAGTTGTTTACCTGAATGATAATAATAAAAGATAAAAGCTTATTCTAAAAATCTAGTAATTATTTTTGCTAACTAAAAGGCTCCCAAAGGGAAAGAAAAGAGACCCTTGACTATATCAAAATTGAAACACACACAAAAAAAGAAAGTAAGACAAAAACAACCCTCAAACTCGAAATCCACCTTCAAACAACTTTTTCACACACAATTCATTGAACAACCCCCAAATTAAAATTGATAAACATCTTCAACTCACCCACATGTATCATTCACAAATTTTCAAGCACACATTTATCATCAAAACTGAGCTGTTTACCACAAAAACTGAAAAATCCGCCAATTTACCCTTAAAACCTGAAAAAAGATAAGAAATAGGGACTGTATCAAAAATCTGAATAGACAGAAAAAAAGGTCTGCTTCCGCTCTACAACTTTGCTCAGCCAAGCTAACCTCTAACTCTATTGGTTGTACCCTTAAAATGAAATTCGATTTTATGTGAAAATACTCGAAATTGAATTTACCCAGTTTACCACCTGATATTACCACTGATAATGCTGTATATGGTTTATAATTGATTTTTCATGCTCAGATGCGCCCATATGATGCCTTCCACATGATTTACCCTCTAAAAAACTGATGTAGTACATTTGAAATAAAGTCTCATGATTGAAAATGGAGCCTTTTATGGAATTTTGAAAGCCATTTTCGAGTTTCAAAATCATCCTTTTCATTTGTGATTTTGTATTTGCCAATATTGGTGTTTGATAATCTGATGAATTTATAATTTCACACCGATCCCTACTTGCTTTTTCAGTTTACCACCCCAGTTTACCACCACCCCAGTTTACCACCATCTGTCTGAGTTGCTGGATTTTCGAAATTCAGCCTTATTTAAACCCATACCTCAAAACCATGATTCCTCTACACATAACTTGTTAAAACCATACACATCTGTAACCATGACTTTTTAAACCCATAAAATTCGAAATTTCAAGTTTAAGCCTGTACACCCTATGTAACCCATACAACATTCAACTACACATAACCTCTAAACCCATAAATTCGAAATTTGACTTCATTTTACACTACACCTCATCCATCAAACTACATAACCCATAAAAAGAAAAATAGAGAAATAAAAATATAACACTTCACATAATAAAACTTGACATATGTGATCAAACTAAATAAGATAAAAAATAAAAAATGAAAATTGAAAATTGAAATTAAGTAAAGAGAGAAAGAAAATGAAAAAAAAAGAAATGAACTAAATAAAGAACTAATTTAAAAACACATTATTGATGTAATGTTCTAAAAAATGTAGTTTCTCGTATTTTAAAATGAAAGTTAATAAAATAATGGGGTTACCCCAATTCTGATTTCCACACCGGTCCATATGTATTTCACTTTGAATTCACCTGAATCATAGACGGTTCCAGACCGCCCCCTTTCCATCCCATGTTTGTATTATACAGTTATACTTTTCTTTTCCCCGGCTAAAAGGGGGCGGTCAAGCCTCACAAGGGGGGGCTGCTTTTAGTAAAATCCTTTTTTAAAATTCAGGCAAGTCTTTTGTAAAAAAGACATGCGTAAAACCAACATATTTTACAGCAACAAGCAAGTTGCTGTAGCGCAAATGTGTGTAAAAAGATCTTGAAACCCCCTAGTACATACAATAAGGGGGCTCAAGTCAAAATATTTGCCGCCTTTTCTTAAAAAATTGGGGAAAGTTTTTTACGGTACCGTGCTGTAAAAACTTTTCCCAATTCGTAAAAAAGGGCCGTAAAAATTTCTTTTGGATCTCCTTCTGAGCAGCAGATTTACGCAAATTTGCATAAATTTGCTGCTCAAAAAAATTTGGGAAAAGTTTTTTACCATAAAAGTAGTAAAATTTTTTGACTTGAGCCCCCCTAATAGCGGGGTTCAAGTCAAAATAATTTGGACCTAAGATGGCTTTTAGATGTTGCTCGAAGGTTGTAAGTTACAACTCACGTTTTGTGACTTGCGAGTAGCTTTAGAGCTCCTTGCAAGGTCTAAAATTATACGACAATGCCTATAATTTTAAGACAGTTGGTTTGTTTTTCGGATTGAGAAAAAAATACTGTCTTTTTATGTTTCAAGAAAAGGTGTACGAGTCATTTTTTTTGTCCTTCTCTCTTGTTGAGTCCATAACAGCAGATAAAATGCACTTTTTTCCAGCACTTGTACCTTTGTCTCAAAGCTTTTCTTCTTCTCGTTATCAGACGTGGTGGGCTATTTTTAAACCATTCTTACAACATCCAAGTCGGTTTTAGGTAAAATTTGGCCTAAAAAACTCCCTCGGATGCTGTAAAATTCCTACTTGGAATTTTTGACTTGAACCCCGCTAATAGGGGATGCCAAGTCAAAAAGTTTACGTTATTTTGCAGTACAACAAGTTGTCCAAGATGGTAAAATTTCACGTAAAATTTAAAAATTTTGGACACCTTTTTAGGTGTCCTGAATGCTGTTGACTGTATATTAGGGGGTTTCAAGTTGAATTTCTTTTTGTGTAATTTTCAAAAAATCAGACAAGTTGTTTGTAAAAAAATCTTTCTAAAACACTGTATTTTTAATTTGGGACACCTAAAAAGGTGTCCCGCTGTGAAACATTTACACATATTTCACAACAACGGGCAAGTTGTTGTAGCGTAAAAATATGCAAAAAAATCCAACTTGAAACCCCCTATTTGCAGGAAAAAAAACACCGTAAAATATTGAAATCTTGACCGTTTCATAATTTTTTTCACAAAAATATGCTAACTTGGAACCCCCTAATAAGGGGTCTCAAGTTCAAATTTTTGTGTGATTTTACGTGTTAGAAACTTGGATGAAGTTTTCAATTTTACGTAAAATATTTTGAAAATGGCCAACCTTTTCATGTCTTCTGTTTCAAAATTAGCGTAAACATATGCTTGGAATATTATTTGGTCAAGTTTCCCCTTTTTTTTCACCTGTCTTTGCATGAGCAGAAAGGTTTTCTAGGATTTCCAAGAGAACCTCAGCATTGACCATGCCATTTAAGAGGAGATTGGTCAAACATGCACAGGTTTGACTGTAGTATTGATTGCAGACACATCAATTGGTACATGTACATGAGCATTTGATTACAGCCCTCTACACAAGCGGAGAGTGCATGGAGCATCCTGCGCGGTGTGGATGGTCACGCGCAGTTGCAGATAAGGTTGATGATTACATAAGTGTTGCATACATATTATCAAGAACCAACATAATCTGTCCATCATGATGTCAAGTTGTTGTTCTCTTATTGCATTCAGGCCCTGATACTCTTGATCACAGACAAGTCAAGCAATACATGTACATAAGTGTTTGATTGTTGTAGCAGCAGTGATGGCTTTCCTCTGTGCATCCAACTGACCATGACACTTTGTATGTATAGCAAATGAGACCCAAACACCAATCAATTTACACAATCTGAGTGGAAACCAAAAAAAATGTGGCAAAGCATCAAGGGGCCTAATTTTTACACTACAATCAGCTTCTCCACAATAAGAAACTTGATCCGTGCATACCAAGATGTGAAGCAAGCGGGGACTAAAAGCGTCAAGGACATTCATAAATCAAGCCTGCAACCAGATTCTCCACAATACAAGACTTGAGTTCACCTGTTGAAACCCAACATGATACAACTCTGCAGAAGGTGATGCAAGGGAATACAGCATTTCGATCTATGATGCAATGATTGGTGAGTAACTCTGGCTGTCTTCAACAAATATAAAAGGCCAACTAATTTTCTGATGATTTGTTCCCCATTCAGTCATTCTACTGAATTGTTTTGCTCACCTGAAAACTTGCCTTGGTATGTTTCCCCACAATGTTTATCAGCCAATTGTAGAATTTCCTTAATGACATGAACCAAGCTCAATGTCACATTACTTTACCCTTTTGATTGGCCTAGATACTATCATTTTCTGACTGGAACCCAATCAAATTCTGTGGCTTTAGCATACCAGTGATTCTTGGAATATCCAACCAAATCTTCTTCACAATTTTCCAAATCTAAAACCTGGTCACCCAATTAGACATCACCATGAGGCTCAGCATTGGCACAGCAATATTCATGGCATTCATATCAAATCAAGTTTTTGGGTTTTTGACTCACAGCTCCAAGAGCAAAAGAGCCATGATATTGGCTGATGAAGCTTTGGTAAAATCCATACCCATTGTAGCTGAAAGGGATTACTGTCCACATTGTGCTGCTCTTACCAGCGGGAAATGTCCAAATCATTCTTCTTGATATTGTACCACAACATGGGTGGTGTGAATATGCATGTAAATTGGAATCATCATCATTGTGAAACCAGTAATTAAATCTTGCTTCAGAGCAATCATTTTGTTGTCCATTGATTGGGAGGCAGGAGATATTAGTTTTTCTGCTGATTTGTCAAGGGTCAATTCACCCTATCCCCACCTTGTGCACATACTTTCCCTAAGCTATAATAGATTCATGCAAATGAATACAATGATTTTCAACATCCCTAAGATGATGTTGAATGAAAATGGTACAAGGTGTGAGTCCATGTAAGTTTGATTTCTTGCCTTATCATGCTTGTCAGCCATGAGGAGTATTCTGCAATACTCCCATTGTCAGAACAGCAGATCCAGTTTAAAAGGATCCACTGGTCAATGGCAACCAAGCTTGAAGGTGCCAAGACCCCATCTCCAAGGCGTGTTGGTGATCTAACACAGGGAGCATGTGTTACAGGTTTCAGCGTGCCAGATATGAGCCCTGATGACCGCTGTGGAAAGCAGAATAGCCTCCATACCTCCTCCTTTTATACGCACAGAACCTCACTATAACAAGCCTTAAAGGCTCAGCATTGCTCAGGTTATGAGTTCATTCCACTCGTAGTATTATTTTCTTAAAACTATGTTTTTTTTTTGTGATCAGTTCATTTTCATTCATTTTCATTTAGTTATTGGTGGTAGTAAATCAAGTAGTACAAGATACATATTACATAACAAAGCACATCAAAGCCAAATCAAACATAAGAAATAATAAAATAAAATAAAATAAAAAGAGGGGAGACAATTCAAAATTTAAAAGAAATCCAAATCAACGAGAAAAGATAGCAGTGGTGGATATAAATTAAAAAGAACTAAGATAAAAATAAAGATAGAATAAACAAACTAATTTAAAATACTTACAAAACAAAAACAAACAAACAAAAGAAATCGATCTAAACAAGAATAAACATAAAAGGTGCTAATTGTGGTTAGCGTAGGAAGAATTAAAGAGGAGAAGTAAAAAAGGGGGTACTTACAATTCAGGAACCAAGGTATGATTTAACAGGGAGTGAGCGGGGTAATTAAAAAGATCGAGTGGTTGAGATTTGATGGGAACCAAGTCCAGGAAGCTAAGAGGCTAAAAAAATCGAAGCTAGAACAAAGAAGAAAAGAAAAGAAGAGGAGTCAGTATCAAAACAAAACAAGTAAACAAAGCTAAAGAACTTGAATAAAGAGAACATACCTGGAAAGAAAAGAAGAAAAATAGAAAATAGAAAGGGTACAGTGAACCAAGGAACAATGAGAATAGTCCGAACGATTAGATGCAAGATTTAAAAGAAATCGATCTATAGGTTAAACTAGGGATGGAAACAACAATAATCAGCGGGGAAAGACAGCATGAGAAAGAACAAAAAGACGTAAAAGGGAAAGAACTAACGTACCTAGAGAACATCCGATCGGAGAAGATAACCGATTGGAGAGAATAACCGATCGGAGAGGATGTAAAAAAAAGGGACCACGTGTCGAGTTGTGAGTGGGATCAAAAGGTATAAAAGGAGGCTATCGTAGCAAATCGCATAGAGAAAAAGGAGGGAGGGCATCGTATCTTGTGTAGTGTCTGTGTGCTTTAAAATTGTAGTGTGTCTAAGAGTTCCTTCAGTGTTTGAGGGTGAACTTAAGAGTGCCATCGAGTTCGTATTTTGAAAGGTGTTACTAAACGATCTAGACAGAAAAGATAAAGAAGAAACCAGTTTTGTTAGCTATTTGATAGTCAGATTGAAAAGCAAAAAGAGAGAAGAAAGCCTTACCTTGATTGTGAGACTAGTGTATTAGATTATTGTTGTTTTTTTATTTTGTTATCTGATTCTGAGTTGTTCTTGCTGAGCTAAGTCAAAAACTAGTCGTGGAATTGTCGAATTCAAGACTATCTCGAGATCAACAAACCCGCCTCTTGATCCAAGTCGAGGCCGGGTCGAACGGGTTCCGGGCTACAAAGACTGGACCTGTGTGTAATTTATTACACATCACCATAAAATCACTAAAAATTTGAAATTCACATAACTTTGCATCACAACGTTGTGTAACATTGTGTGTGGTATCACTGGAGTTCGGCAAATCTTGCGGATCCTTTGAAAATCTCAAAATTGTGTTACGGGAGGAATTTGTGGGGTAGAAAATTGTTAAGAATTGCTCTAGTTCTTTTCGAACTGCAATAAAATTAAGGTTGAAGGCAGCGTAACTGCACTGTAGTTTCATCCGCTCTCTCGAGTGGTGATTCTTACCCTCTCTGGCTCAGCCTACGCTACACTGCGTAGGAGTTCTACACCGCAAAACAAAGAACGCTGACATACTTGATCAGAGAGAATTATGGATTCAATACATAAGCAATGACTATCCAAATTGGGCGGCGGGTGCCGCACTCACAGAAAGGGATGATATTAGTTCAATTTACATAGCATGATTCAGTCTATTCTGGAACATATATCACTCAAGGAGGAAAGCTTCTTCCGGGTTGATTAGTTGCATTATATACGCAGTCAGATCCATTTCATAATTTTATTGAGATCAATTTATATAGGCTGTTGCTATTTGCAGCCCACAAGAAAACCATGTAGGTGCTGGCCAAATTACGCCTACTTGGGTGTTTCCCACAAAAAAGCACATACATTTATGATGTAGGCGCTGGAAACCATCCAAAGTGATGCCTACATGGTAAAAAAACCATGCTCATTTGGTTATGCCTACATTCAAAAATTGAGATGTAGGCTCTATTTTTGAGCGTCTACATGGGAAATCCAATGTAAGCGCTGAAAAATTACGCCTAAATTCAATTTTCAGCTCAAATAAGCGCCTACATGTGGTCTTGCATATGTAGGCGCTACAAATCCAGCACCTATAAATCCAGACTGGTCTGACAGGTAATCATGAAGAACAATTTTCAAGTCAAAATGTGAGTATTGGAAGACGGAGAAAGCAGTTTGGAGTCAAAAGGAGTGTATCTGAAGCCAGAAAAAGCAGTACATTATTTCAACTCCAAACTGCTATTTACGTCTTCTGATATGCCCACTTTGGAGTTGAAAAGAGCTTATTCATCTTCTGTTACGCTCTCCGTCTTCCCAAAGACTCATGTCAACTCTGAACTGCTTTTTCTGTGTTCTGATACACTCATTTTGACTTCAAACTGGTTTTTCCGTGTTCTGTTACACTCATTCCACCTCCAAAATGATTTTTCCATCCTCCAATACACTCATTTCAACTCCGAACTACTTTTTCTGTTTTCTGATCCTCTCATTTTGACTTGAAAATTGCAAGACTACATGTAGGCGCTCATTTGAGCTGAAAACTAAATGTAGGCGCTCAAACATTAGGCCTACATTCTGAAATTTTGCATGTAGGCGCTTTTTTGGCAGTGCCTGCATGGTTTTCTTGTGGGCTGCAAATAGCAACAGCCTTTATATATTTTGAGTAACACAATGCCAGCCTAAGTCTATTATTCCTTAAAACTTATAAGTAGCTGTTTTGGTCACACTGGATCCATCACTGAGGTTTAGGTCACAGGATTCAAACAAGATACTCCAATTTCTATTCAGTTGGGCCATTGTTTTATTTGATAGCATGATCATGTCAACATGGATTGTAAACACTGAGTTATAGCTTGCTATTTCAGAGATCAGATAGAAAATCACCAAGCTTACCAATACTTTGGCACCAGGAAAATCAGATATAAAGTGACACTATAGACCATGATCCTTGCATAACCCCACTCATTCCAGACTGTGCATAAACTGCCTTTTCTGAGCTGTGAAAACGAAATGTTTTTGGTTTTTTGACTTGCCCAGAGGGGAACCATGGAGCTCTTTCAATATAGTATACCAATGGGACCGCTACTTGGGTAACTTGTGAAGCACACTTTGGGTTCATTGAAGTTTACCAATTGCAATCATTAAATATGAAATAGAAAAGGTGTACTGTGCTTATTGTAAATAAATGGCTCTGGGAAGTGTTTTTCCAGTCTTTCTGCACATACCAAGCAAAACTGAAGCAAGGGAAGGGGCAGGACATATGGGGGCCATGCTTCTGAGTTCTGATTGTGGTGGGATCAAGGTGAACAGAGGTATTGAACCATACCCTTGGAGTGGAGTGCAAATATCCTTTCCATAAACCTAAGCCCTAAACCCTAGGCCCTAACCCCCTAACGGATTTCATATCAGAGTAAATCAAGTTTGATTTTGTTTCAGATGTTGAGAGATGTTGCAAGCAGCTCTAAAATCAAAACACTACGTTGAAACAGGTGTGCATATATAACTACGGAATGCGAGAGGTGTCAAGGTGACAATGCAAAAATCAAAAAACGAAAATCACAATTCCCGGGTGCGAAATTCAAAAATCAAAGACAAAACTACAGAAAATACTCAAATACAGGGCAAAAACCCCTGTACCGGAGTAAAAGTCATGGCAGAAACCCCTTTCAGACCAGGTTACGGCCCAAATTTCAGTAGATTTACAACTTGAAACTCAACATTTGTCACCCCATTGTCGCATTGACACAAAAAGTACCAGGAAACCACAAAAGAGGACATCAAAATTCAAAAATCAAAAAATCAAAAAATCAAAAGTAGAAAATCAAAAAACAAATGTCAATAATCAAAAAACGACAATTAACAAACCATAAACAAAGACCCCAAAAATGAAAACTTCACATTAGATGATGAAAAGTGTACCTCTCTACCTCTCTACCTCTCAACCAATCACACAACCCACACACCATCACCGATCATCTCAGTCATTCCTCCAACTTTTGTCATAGTCTCCACCCATCCACTTGTTCAACCAAACCTACACTACACTGAACCTCTTTGATTGTCTCCACTCTTCTTCATCCTTATTTGATTGTCTTCACTCTTCTACACTACACTGAACCTCTTTGATTGTCTCCACTCTTCTTCATCCTCCTTTGATTGTCTTCAATCTTCTTTGATATTCTTGGATCGGCTTCACCCTTCTTCAATA